ACGACTTTTTCGAATATATAAGACTCCGCTCAACTTGCAAATATTAGTGTAGAAGCCTAAGCTCCTTGCTGTGACTCTCAACAAGTGGCGTGAAACGAAGTATAGAAAAAATATCCCTAAAAATGTCCAGAAACATGAGTGACAATTCAAGTGATGAGTTGTTTATGGACACACTATCAGACTGTTCTGAAGACATTGATCTACTGATAAGTGATTGTAAAGTTGACGACAATAATAACACCATCGTTCCCATATATCAGACTAATCGACGAATCCTTTTGAGTGAATCGGAAGATGATTCCGTCGATGACTCGGAATCAAATGTTATTGTCAATGGCGTCGATGATTGGACAGAATATGATATTAGAGTTGAACTGAAGCATATGGTCGAACTGCATGCATCAACACAATGCCTGAACATCACGATATATTACTGTTTTTTTGTTCCATATTTGAGTTACGTGATTTATCCGTCATCTTTACTGTCCTTAATTTTCTCACTCTATTAACATATAAAATTTAACGTCGCAATCTTGTTTATCGCTTATTATACAAAAGAACACGTGCAATAAATAAACAATAAAAAGGAGCAATAATTCTTCTAACAATATCGTGTCCGAATATTAATGCGAGTCACTGAATTTTGCGCTTCGCGTGGCACCTTTTCGGTGTCTGGTGTGCGAACATTTTATCATGCTCCGTGTCGAATTTCCGCAAATAACGCTTTATGCCGGGTGTATCACTTACCTACGGCTGTGCATGGCTTGGCCTAAGGGTCTTAGAATCCAGGGTTGCATCTGTCCGCGTCTTACGAGTCGCGCAAAATGGGTGGTGTCCGCGCTTCATAAAATTAAAGGAAGGTCGAAAAATTCGATTTTTCATTTTTCTAATTTAAATTTTTATTTTAAAAAAGCTAGAAAAAGTTATTGATGAACATGATATTTAAAATCATGGCATTCGACAGAAGTCACTGCAAGAACCGCGCGTAGTGTATGAGGGACCAATTACGTTTACGATCGAGCGGCACCTTTCTACAGTGTCTTTAACGCGTTCGATGACAGTCATTGAACTTTTAGTTAGATCGGAATGGTTGAGCGAGCGACAATACGAGCCACATGCGAAATAATAGACTCTTCATATTTTTTTATATTTCTGTATCGATCCCGCGTATTTTGTATTGTTTTTTTGGGATTGTATAATAAAACTGTGAAGTTCAACAATTATTAACAATGCTTACGACGACATCGAACTATAGAATTAATGTAGCATAAAATTGATCTCTCTTGAAATGTCCATGTCGTGTGCTATCCGAAAAGAAATGCACGTTCATAGAGCGTTCGAAATCTAAGTTCTGAGGACATCCTAAATGGACATGGGATGTGCGGACGTAAACTGGAGATAAAACGGACGTGTGGTGCTATCTGGCTGGTTTGCAAATGTTCTAATAGCAGTGAGACATTATACATATATTAAATGAAAATAAAACAGCATTTATTGATCAAAATTTATTCCTTATAAATCTTACACATGTTGATTTGGAAAATAGTGCAAGCATAAAATCTCTCTAAAGCGTAAATTCAGAATGGAAAAACTAATCGTAAAAGTAAGATCAAGAATTTGTTTAGAGATATATTTTACGTAATTGAAATTAAATTATGAGAATATCTTCGTTCGATATTACATGCTACGAGGTAAGGAGCGAAGGAACAATCGGTCGCTGACCGACTTTTTTGTTTTAATACTACACGTTCTAGCTATTTAAGATCGCATCTCTATCTGGTGAAGTACCGATTTGCGTTAGAATAAATAAAGATTTTCTAAGAGATTTTACATATTTCTAATATAAATAATTATTGCAGAAATCATATAAATCCATCTCGTTCATTTTGGTGGTGTTATTAAATGTACTAAATTTTAATGAATGGACTGCTGCATAATCAAATTCATTTAACGAAAGAAAATGATGCTACTAAACAATTTGTCAATTACATGTCTAAAGAACTTTCGTAAGTTGTAATGTTCATATTCGTCGTTTCTACACAATTTTGTCAAAATTTAACGTATAATATAAATAATTCGTAGTACATCTAATCAACGAGAATGCAACGCGCACGCGTACATCATTGTCATTGGCGGCCAGGGTTAATAATGTCCCATGACACTATCAGCTGACGTCTCTGATCAAAATAACATGTAGATACAAAGTGATTGCGATAACATCTAGTACGTGTGGAATGTTTTTATTTGATGTGTATGAACATTTGTGTTATATACATATATTATGCGTATCGTCGTCTCTATATACGATGTATAAATACAGCATTTAAATACATTATCGACAAGATTGCGGGGTGACTTCAGCTAAACAGTCCAACGCTGTAGATTCATCGACCGTGTAAAATATTAAGAAACGTCCGCCAACGTAAATTATCTTTGGTTCAAATGTGAAACGCGCTCGTATAACAACTATTTGCAAACTGTGCCGAGAATTTACGAGTATTTTGGACAACGTTCATACTCGAGAGACAATTCGTGATAAAAACTATCGGTTTTTACTGTAACGAATGTGCTGCAGATATTTATGGTAAAGAAACATTTTCCGGTAACTGGAATTAGTTATTTAGTTAATTTATTTGTGACCAAGTAAATTCTTCGGTGGTAGGTATAAAACGAAAAATTCATTATGCATTCATGCACGGCAGTCTCTTGCCGCGTTTACCCATTTTCAAAATAGGCCGAATTCAATTCTCAATAAAACTAAAAGTTTCATCATCGACGTTATTTTGACCGATTTTTTCTATAGTCATTATAGGGAACATTGAAAAGTCAATAGTGGAAAAATGATCCATGTTAGAGAATAATTTGAAATCAAAATTTTTGGAGATGTCTTTAGACCCCTTTGATAAAAGTAGCGTTAAGGGACAATATTCAGTAGAATAATTTGCCTTATCACATTCAATTAATGCTATTTCGTTTCTTCCATTTTACTTGAAGTATTCATTTTTATACTAAATATTTCACAGATTACGATAAAATCGTAAGCTGTATAATTATCACATGTTTCTCAAATCGAGCAAAATGTACTGTCTTTAACACGCGTAGTGTAGATATAAAAGATCAGGAGAAACAAGGAACATACGTCATATTACATATTATTCGATTCCATGTAACAAATTTTCATTTCATTCCGCATTCAAATAGAAGGAACAATCGATAGACCAATAATCGACAGATATGCATATATGTCAAGTTAAATGAGGATTTCGGAATTCAATAATTCGCATAATTCGCATGAGACGTATAAAAGTTAATTATGAAAAAAAATAGTAATAATAAGGTAAGATAATAATAAGCGATCATTTCTCATGAGTGTTTGCAAACGTTTGTTAAAACTATACGGTCCGTAGATACGTGGCTTAACAGGTGCTCTTGATAGGCTTCAACACGTTCTCTGTAAACTGTCCAACGATGTTACCTCTTGGATGATAACAGGCGACCACTACACAACTACCATCCCTTTTGGCCATCGCTATACCCATCTCAGTGGTATTCTTCCAGATGATTTGCGTGAAGTGACCTGTTACATAAGAAACAATTACTCTCTTTGATATAATAAAAGTAAGAATCTCATAAGTTTTTTGAACATTAATATGGTGATCATTTACAAAGTGGAGGACCTTATCGATTTTAATGATCTTGAAACATAACGTCATAGCCGACATTCTAAACATCTTCTTTATAGATGTTATCTAAATAGTACAAGTTATAAAAAAAGGTTTTGTCGTGGCTATCATAGACGTATTCTACACCTTTAGATCGATGGTGGTCTGTCAAAAAAACTTTTCGCAAAAGTAACCTTGACCACATTTTTTAAGTTTATGGTTATATTATATATTTTTTACATATATATTATATATATTTTTTATATTATTATTTTTTTATATTATATATTTTTTATATATTCTTTTTTACGATTGCATCCTATTCTACACATCGAGAGGAGTAAACTTGTAGAAGGAATCATATATCCCAAAGCAACTGTTTTCCTAGAAAGTAACAAAAATTTTATTTTTTTTAACTATTTATTATTTTACATTAAAGACATAGCTAACAATCAATAGTATTATAATTATTCTAGTATCGGAAAATCTTCAACATTAAGATGCAAGTTTGCTCCTTTCGATGACTAGAATATCATGTAATTGTAAAAAGATTTGAGCTTGAAAAATATGGTCGAGGTCACTTTTGCGGATAATTATTTTGAACAGATCCCCATCGATCTAGGTGTGTCTAAGTCTCTCGCTCGGTCTAGGTGTAGACTATCTATATAGAACATCTATGTATAATTGCTTAACGACGCTCGGTCTTTGTTTTTGGAAATGTATGTACGCGGTGTGAATTAGAATACAGGGATAAAGTACGGAAAGACGGATACTCTTCCTCCCCCACCTACACTTCTGATATATGATCCGTGATTCTTAGTTATAAAATCCTAGTAAACAATATGTGCGAAGATGGCAGTAAATTAACGTCAGATCTTGCCAGATTTTTCTAAAAGTTCATTGCCCTCTATTTTTGCATTTGGCTGTGATTCTATATCCTATAATCTGACAGAACGCAAAGCAGATTGGTGACAGATTGACAACAGAACCTGTAGCATAACTTCTTGTCAGATTGGGAGCAAAAACGAAACAGTTTGTACCAGCCTACTCCTGATGGTAGGAAGGCAGAAGAAACAAAGAATCTGCAGATCTTCAGTCATTTTATAACTCCGGTAGTTAAAATATTAAAAACAAAGCTGAAATCGCAATTTTTTCCCAAACACTCTACATGGGCACCTGCTTAAGCTTTAAATGGCCAAAGCTGCAGGATCTGTTTCGTTCCTGCCGGTTTTCTTCTATTAGTGTTCTCCCAAATTGTCCCTCAGCTTAAAAACAAAACTGGACAACTTGAGAAAAGGAGATACGACTTTTTAATTTAATTTATTCAATTTATTTCTACATACGGGTAAAAACCCATTTTTTACAATACAGAACTAAAAGCTGATATTAATATAGGGTGTTCCATAATTATGTCAACACCCGGAAAGAGGTGATTCTTGAGGTCATTTGAACTAACTTTTTCTTTAGCGAAAATGCAATCCGCGGCTTTGTTTACGAGTTAATAACGGAAAACATTGACCAATCAGTGGCGAGTTCGGCTAGCGCGCAGGGCTGCTTGTTAGCTTGGCTGTCTCGCGCTAGTCGAACTCGCCTCGCATTGGTCAGTATTTTTCGCCAATAATTCGTAAGCGAAGCAGCGGATTATAATTGAGTTAAGGAAAAAGTTATTTCAAATGACCTTAGGAATCCCTCATTTCCCGAAAGTAACATAATTTTGGAACTCCCTGTAGATGTTTCCGAGTTATCGAGATTCCAGTTATCGAGGTTCTACAGTATTAAATAGATGAAATGTGTTATAGATGTTTTAATCATGCATATCTTGAAAATTCAGACCAAGCGGCACGGTGATGATCTGATGGAAAAGTTGTTCGAAATGTTTACCTTGACAACATATCGTCGCTGATGTTCTTATCAATACTTAACCCTCAAACGACGGACCGGTTTGACAACTGTACAATTGACAATATTTATGATAATTTTCAGCTTTATTCATCAGTTTTCCAAAACATAGTTTTGAAGGTACTTCTTGTAGATCTATTAGTCTTTCTGTTGTTCTCCGTGTAACAGCAATTAATTTTATTTAATTGCGAAAAATTGAATAATTAGGTAACGATTTAAATACTCCGAATCAAACTGAGCCGGACATCGCAGTCCGAGAGTTAATATTTCTCTCTACAAAACCGTTGTATTGGAGTCAATATCGCGATTCCTTTTTATGCTGTATTCTACGTACATGTATTTAGGACTTTTGGCTCCGTTCCAAACTTGTGATCCTTCTTCTCGGAATACCATTTCGAGACTACCTCCCGTGCCGGTACAATTAGCTTCGGATCGGAACACTGCATCGAGTAGATGTTCTCTCCGTACGGAGACGATAACTGCGGGATCAGCTTGTTCGTGTTCAACAACGTGTTCGCCCATGCCTGTAGATACAGAAAAATTGGTAATCGAGCATTACTCTCGTGTCGGGTTATTCGATCGATCTTGCCTAAGTTCAAATTACGATTGCGTGGAATAGCGGGTCGAAACTTTGAAACATTTTGGTGTAACGAGTAAATCAATAAATTAACATTTGCCATATTTGCACGAAAATTGTTAGGCCGAGACTAGAAATGTTAACAGGCATAAAATATTATAATATCATTTTACCGAAAAAAAACCTTTGTGATAATCTGCCGACAGGCGACAATGGTGTATTCTTTTTATAAATGCATCGTCTACCTTGAAATTTAACCTTGCACGGTTAAATTTACATCAACTCAGGAGCCAGCATGTAAATTAAACCGTACGGAATATATTCTTTCTCAAAGTAAGCAAGATAGATGCAATATGACGCGAGCAGCAACGGTCGAAGATCATCTTTTAAGGGGTGAGCGCGATCAACAAAAGATAAATGTGCAATAGTGAAAATACATTTTCATTAATTATTGCCTTACCTTTGTAATTGTAGCATTAGTGGATAGTCGAGATTCTTCTTATTAAAATGAGCCCAAACAAAATGTAAAGCAGAATAACTTAAACAATTTTTGGATTAATTAATAGGCAATCTATAACAATAAGTTTGTCAATAAATATAGTCCGATTTACATCGTGTTTGGATTTATTTGAATCGGAAGAATCTCAGCCCAATTGATATCCATTGGTGCTACAATAGTAAAAGTAGGACGAAAATGACTGTGAAAATAAAATTTTCTTTATTGCACGTTTACTTTGTTCACAGTATCCTATTGATGTATGTTTGTAAGTTTTCTTTTCACTGCATATTATGGATATACAGGATGTCCCATAATTAAATGCAATTCGCGGCGTTGTTTACGAGCTATTAATGAAAAATAGTAACCAGTGAGAGGCGAGATCAGCTGGCGCAAGGCGGCCGTATTTCAAGCCCAAGGCTTGAAACATTCGCCAGGCTGTTTGTAGTGTGAGAAAATTCGAAGATAGAAATGTCGACTGCTGGTCATGTGTGGCTCGACCAGTGTTCGCAGGAAAACTAGCTACGCAAGGATGGTGACGCATGCGCTTGGAGTGTTGCACAACAACGTGGCGTATCTATCGGGTGAACATTACAATTCTGAATTATGATGGGGACGCGACGCAGAACCTCTGCGATCTTCCATCTTCTGTGATCCTTCTGATCATAGTTCGGAATTATAATGTTCATCCAATAGACTCGCCACGTCGTCGGGGCGATCGGTGCACGGGAGATGCGAAATAACAGACGGTAGGACAACACGTTCATTTCTGGACGGATTCAACTAATGAAGAAAACAAGTTAGTTTTCCTCCGAAACTACTTTCCACGTCTCGGCGCGATTTGACACTCGTTGACTTTGATTCTAGAATCCGACAACGGAACTGGCCCAGCTGTTGGGCGGCCAGCCCGGAGGAAAGGGCTCCTTCCTCTTTATCGTCGACCTGCGATCTCGGAACTCGGGGGTAGTTCTCTTTTTCCGTTTGTGATATTGCGAAGGCATTTATTTCTGTTTGTTATATTGCAAAGGATATTTGTGTCGTTCATCAGCGGTCGAGAACGCGTGCGTCAACTGAGCGGTTGATTCTTTTACTTCCGGGTAGCTCTAGTAATACTACCTCGTTTTTTCGCGGTTCTCTAGAACCTCTCCGTACTTAGATTAAGTCGCGTTTTTATAAGGCGTTCCGTCTAGGCTAAGTTGTTTTCATAAATAAATATTGTCATAATTTTGGTACGTATAATCGATTATTCTTTCACACCTCGCCTACCGATCTGATCTCCGGTGTTATAAAGAAGTAAGCAAAATGTGGAATTTGATGTACTTTAATCGCAAGATTTTAGTTTCTCATGTATTTCGTGGTTATCTCGTATATCTTAACACATTGTTGACCGGCTATTTTGCAACTTCTGAGCCTACAAATTTTTGTGTGTGTGTTTATCCGGATATCTCATAATTAAGAGCTCTAGAGACTATTATCATTAAAAGTTAGTCTACACTGATGATTAAAAGAAAGAAGTCTCAAACTTCTAAGTACATTTAATAGTACTGCAAACATGGAATATTACGCAAGTTGAAAGAAATATACATATAGCGATATCTAATAGAAAGAAATAGAGAAAGATTTCTGATAATAAAAATTAATATTAAGAATCTTCTCGTTGTAGCTACAGATACGTATCTATGTAAGAGAATTATAGGCTGAGGATTATATTCCACATCAGATATCATCAACTTATTCTGATTTACAATTCAAATATCGTGGATAAATGGCATTCTACAGGACCAGGGATAGAAATAGAAATAGAAATAGAAATAGAAATAGAAATAGAAATAGAAATAGAAATAGAAATAGAAATAGGAATAGGAATAAGAATGGGAATGGGAATAGAACTACGAATAGGAATAGGAATAAAAATAGAAATAGAAATGGAAATAGAAATAGTAATACAAATAGAAATAGAAATAGAAATAGAAATAGAAATAGAAATAGAAATAGAAATAGAAATAGAAATAGAAGTAGAAATAGCAATAGCAATAGTAATAGAAATAGATCACCTGAAGCGGACAAGTCATGTAATATGCTGAAAATAAGGCTATTTTTAAGAATCTTCTTTAGAAAAACTGCAAACCATATTTTTAATCTTTTCAAATATATTATTAGGCGTTGTACTAAATAGAAGTCATGAAGTTTTGTATTCCTAATATAATTAGACAGCTTGCTAATTTTGCACGATATCTCATAATTTGACGATTTTCATATTTGACGAATTTGATGTAATAATGAATTTTATTTGAAAATATACCTTCGCCGCAGCCGTTAATTCAGCGCTTAACCTTAAGTCTGGAACACGATGTCGTCTTCTATATTCATTGTGAGCGAGCAACGCTTCCTGCTGCCACGTTTGATCATCCATGGTGTACCGCGGTCGAAAAGAAATCTTCTTGCTAGGACTCGCACCACCAGGTGGTAGGACATTCTCCGTGAAGCTTCCCAAATAATTTCCGGCCGGGTTGTAGTTACATACCACATAAACTTCACCGTTCCGGTTCCTAGCCATTCCGACACCCAGCTCCGTGCTGTCTTTCCATACAACTTGAGTAAAGTGGCCAGTTTTTAGGGTGGTTGGCTCTTTTCCGTACTGATGTTGCGTTTCTTCAGCATACCTATCGAACAATTACAAAATTGGATGATCTATTTTACCAATGTCTGTTTACAATCAATGATTTATCTACAGAATTTTTTCAGTAGCGATAACCGGTATAAACGCTCGACGTTTGTATTTTCGAACAAGTTTGATTAGAGCCAATAATTACAAGTTAACAATGAGTCTAATAAATGGAATATATGGCAGTTCATTTTTGTTGAGAATCCGGGATTTATGATAACATCGTCATCTATTTATGCTTAAAGTAACGACGATGATTATGGCAAAGGAAGCGAAGACGGGATTTTAAGAATAATAATAATTAAGACGGGATTGAAAGAATATACATACATATTGCGTACCATACAAGTGAAGATTATTTATTACGATATCCTATTTCCACTGAATCTTTAAATATTTTCATTCGCGCTAACCATACACACAATATTTCAAGAAATAATAGTTTGAGAAAATGTTTATAATTTAGCACGTTTCGTTAGAAGTAGATAGGATAGCATGCGTTTGCTGTAAATTTTTCTATATGCCCTCTACCATTTATTTAATTTTTTTACATCCTCCCTTTCATCCACTCATTCTTCATTTCTGTAACATCTGATTCCACCATCTTTTTTTTGCCTATGCAACTTCCTCCAGTATTTTCCTTCCTGTTTTTCTCTTATCTTTCTATCAAACTTTGCCATCTATTTCTTTCCCTCTCCGTCTTTCACTAATATCTTTTTTATCTCTCCCAGCATCCTCTCTTCCATTTCCTCTTGTTCCCTGCATCTTTAAAACACGTGCTCCCACGTTCCTGCTCTGACTGCGCATCGTCTGCGCCATCTGTCATCTTCATCCTCCCAGTATCTTCTATCATTTCATTTCTTAGTATATCTCGCTATTTTACTCTACTTCTCTTCTTTCCATTTTCTTCTTTGGTACTTCGGCATTTTCTCTACATCTATATATTATCTGTTATGTCTCAAATCTATTGCTTTTCTTTAGTTCTCCTTTTTCTGCATTCTCGTCTCTCTACTCTCTATCTTTTTCTACTGCTTTCTTTTTTTATTTCTCCCTCCTTCTTATCCACCTGTTTTAATTGTCTTCTATTTTCTCTCCTCTCTATAAATTTCTTTCTTTCCTTCTCCCATTTTGATAATTTCTTTCCTTCCCTTGCTCTAGCTTCTACCTCTTCTAGGACATGTCTTGCTCAATCACTTTCCCTTCCTCCTCTTCATCTTTTTTCAAATTTCCATGTCCTTTTTGCACTCCTCGCTCGTAACTTTTCTTTTTTCGTTTCCTCCCTCACCATGTATCTCATCCACTCCACTCCTAATATTCATCTCAAATATCGTTCCTACATGGTTTCTATGTCCGCTTCTACCTCCCATCCCAACGCCCCCACTTCATACTCCATAACTGGCTCTATTAGTGCATCGAAAAACCATTCCCTTATTTTGTAATTGTCTTTGAAATATTACTTTCCTATACCCCACACATACCTCATGAGTCATGACACTTCTGGCCTTCCCAATTTCGTCTTCTATCTGTCCTTTTTGCCTTCCGTTCTTTTCGAATACATATACTAAGTATTTTATCTCTTCTACCCACTCTACCATCCTTTCTCCCCATATCTATATATTTTTCTCTTCCTCCCTTCGCATAAATCTCATCACCTTTATATTTTTTTTCCATCATTAATCTTATTCCATTCTTGTCCTTCGTAAATAGCGCCAAATCGCCCGCATATTGTAGCGTATACAAGGCGTCCCAAAAGTTACTTAAAATCGAGAAATAAGGGGTTTCTGAGGACGTTTGAAGTAACTTTCTCCTTAGCGTAAATACAATCCGCGGCTTTGTTTACGAGTTAGTAACGAAAAACTCTGACCAATCAGAGGCGAGATTGGTTGGTGCAGACGAATCCTCCACTTTTCCTCTTCTTCCTCATATTTTCTTCCAGGTCTGCCGTAAATAAAATGAACAATTTCATACTTAAAGGGAATCCTCGTCTCACTTCTCTTCTTACCTAGAAATTCTCTCCCATCTCTCCTCCCACTTTTAAGCTTACTATTGCTTATCCATACAAAAGATTCTATCTGTTCACGCTGTCAAATGTCACTTTGAAGTCTACAAAACAGCCTATTAGTTTCCTTTTCTTTTTCACCAGCCCTCTATTTATTCAGTAGGTTAAAACAAACTCACGTTAATATTTGGACACCTTTTAAAACGGAATAACTTTATTCAAATTAGTCTAAATCACTTTTGTGATGTTATATCGATTAGTTCGCTAAAGAATGAGAAAACAACCATTTTTTTAGATTGCCGTTGTAACGAAAATTTAAAAAACACGTTTTGTAGATTTTGATAAATTATATGCATGCTACAAATTTCATCGGAATCGATTAACGCAGAGTCAAGCTGGAAGTGTTAAAAGATTTAAAAAGAACTGCATATCTTTGTTCGAAAGTGTATTGGTCGAAAGTGTAAAAAGTCGGGACAAAATTGTGATTTTCGCGATTTTGAATTGTTTATAACTCTTGACAATGTAAACCGGTTAGAAAAAAACATTCTAGTCATCGTCTAAGTATACTAGACCCTCTATCATTTAAAGCAGCGTTCGGAACGTCGGAACACGCAACATTGCGGCCGCGAGGGCTACGCCTCCTGTCTATCGCCGCAACGTCTCGCTTACTGTGTTGCTTCCATCGGCTCACAGCACCTCAGGCACGTACCGTAACAACTATTCATGGCGCATTAGGGCGACACTCCTATCAATAGATTTCCACATCACCTATGAGGTATTATTGTCAATGCGTTTTTTTTGGTTGTTGTCAATGGTGTCCTCCGTAGGCCTATTCCACTGTGTCGCGCAATAAATTCGGATTGATGATAAATATGGACAATAAATCTCGAAAACAATGGTATATCATGATATATCACTAATATCCGTGGGAAGGTCGGACGTAACTGTTTACATCGCAAACGATCATGAAGAATCGCTTTGCGATGTGCGTTGCACTATCGTAATGAAACACATCTTTGAAAAGGAACATTCGTACAAATAAGCTGATTTGAACGTTGAGAATATATTCGGAGTACGAAATATTTGAGAACCGGGTATGTTGACTCATTTAATGTTCTGAAGATCGCACTGTTTTCCTTGATACTACAGGGGATACTACTAACAAAACAAAACGCATTTACAATAGTGATTATGGGTGATCTGGAAATTTGTCGCCTTAATGTACCACGAATAGTTGTTACGGTACACGCCTGAGGTGCTGTGAGCCGATGGAAGCAACACAGTGATCGAGACGTTGCGGTGGTAGACAAGAGGCGTAGCCCTCGCGGCAGCAATGTTGCCTGCTCCATTGTTCCGAGCCCTTATCTAAAGAAAATTCGAGTCATTTAGTCCAGTTTTAAAAAAGTTATACCGTTATAAAGGATATCCGCAGTACGTACTGCTGATATTTATTAACTTAGGAAGATATAATAAATTAGCATAAAAATTAATTCTCGAATCTGAACAGACAATTCCGTCATGCATGTATGGATGACACGACAGTCAAAGGGATAACAAATATGCAGCTGAAGTGTTCACTGTAAAGTCATTCACTCTTATTTCCGTTTATATTTTGATGTAAATTAGGAAACATTTGTTTTTTATTCGAGAACAGAAACGACATTTATGCTGGAAGTCCCTGTATTTGTTTCAGTCGCTATTTTGACAGAAGGAATTAAAAGAAACAATTTTTTGTACTCTTCAACATTTTTATAAGAAAGTCTTATATGTGGATTTCTCATTTATACGTTCACCTACATTACGTTACAATTAATTCTCTTCAATGGTCCCTCAGCTTTTAAACAAAAGTGGACAACTTGGGAAGAGGAGATACAATTATTCGAGCTTTGCGGCTCGTTTTTATAATCGCCGATTACTAACAACTATAAAAACAAGACTCGTGACTCGAAAAATCGTATTTCCTCTCCCTAAGTTGTTCATTTTTATCTCCAAGTTAAAGGACAATTAGGGAGAATTTACTGTAGTTGTTGACAATCGGCGACTATAAAAGGAGCCGCGAGGCTCGAATAATCGTATTTTCTCTTCCCAAATTGTCTATTTTGGTTTACAAACTGAGGGACAATTTGGAAGAATTTACTGTACCTCTTAAGTTTTCGCACAATATTTTGTGCCGTGATAGTTCAGTGCATAATTGCAGCCACGGATAAATTTGACTCTGTTGAACAGTGTAAATAGGAACGCAGACAATTTATTTGGAAAATTCAACGCGTTACTATCGTTTGGCTCAACCTGCGCACAAGACGCTAAAACTTTCCTAAAGTCAATTCTAGTTGCTCACGCAAAATTATGCTTGCAATAAATATATTAGGTCTACCAGAAAGTCCTGTCCGTTTTTTAATTGAAATATAACAAAATTTTCATACATTTAATAATATTTATTGTAGAATATACTTTCCATCGTTACTTATGACTTCTTGTCAGCGCGATGGCAACTTGTAAATGCCATTTTTAAAAAATGATTTATTTTTAGAGGCGAAGAATTCAACTAGTGCTTGGTTGACATCAGCTTCAGTTTTGAATTTTTTTCCTGTAAAAAGTTTTGCAAAGAGAGAAACAAGTGATAATCGGAGGGTGCTAGGTCTAGGGAATATGGTGGATGTGACAGAATTTTCCAGCCTAGCTCTGCGATTTTCTGACGAGTCGCCAAAGCAGCATGTGGTCTGGCATTATCATCGGTAGCCATGTTTTCACGATCGCGTCTCACTTAATAATGACATGAGACATCTTTGTTTCAGTTTATTTAGGAGAGTACATGTGTGTAAATGCAATGATAAAGAGAGATAGTTATATATGTCTCAAATCAACATGTGCATATGGATTGAAACTTGAAGTGACACTATCGGACAGAACTTTCCGGTAGACCTAACATATTCATGAAATACGTACCATTCATTTACAGGCTCATCGCCGCTGACAATAGTCTTTGGATTGGAGCTCCACATGCAGTATAAGTTTTCGCCATAGTCGATATTCGCCCTATGCTCTAACCTACCCCTAGTTGCCAGTATGTTGGCCCAATCTTGGCTTGTTTTGCACAACTGAAAATAAAAAAAGGGGATCGATTAGTTTATAAATGATTAGTTCCTCCGAGAGAAGATGGCACAGAGAAACTTGTAGGGATCTATCCCCCACCACCTGATATTCCATTTTTTGTAATGTAATTGTACTATTGACATTATCGACTGAGCTATTGAACGAATGGTATGAACGAATAACGATAGAGTGACAAGAAAAGGTGCTGGTGATTGAAGTGAGGAGAGACGCAGAGGAGTTGGTTAGAGAAAAGGAAGAGTTGTGCACGTGTCAAGAGTAAGACTGTAAGTTTCTTTTCATTGTAACCAAACCAAAAAGTTTATATTATTTATAAGAAACAAAGTTTTCCTTTTTGTTCACTACATTGTGCCGAGTTTCTTAATAAATAACACCATCTACATAATTCATCACCGATTTGTATACATATACAAGTGTTTGTGAGTTATATCCGAATATGAAAATATTTCAAAAAATATTGATAATACAGAAAAATGTTTCAGACAAGAGTTGCACGGTATTAATAGTAACATATGGTGTAGGTGCTCTTTATAGCAGATATCTTGACCTTTTTAAAACTCAATTTAAATGTGTATTTTGCTTATTTGGTTCTGGGGATATAGCCACTTAAAGTTAGCCACACCACGGGGTTTTAATAAAAACAGATTGAGTGAATGGATCATTGAAAGTAATATTATTTCATGGAATCAATTGATCTCGCTTTTCCTTCAACATGTCTCCTGTCAAGAAGTATACACATTTTCGATCCTTCTTAAAAATTCCTCTTCTACCTTTTTTAGGGTTTCAGATTCAGTTGTTTGACATGCATCGATAATCCTTCTTTGCAACTCTTCTACTATTACACTTTAACTGGAGTATTTTAATCTTTTTATCCTCGTTTAACGTTTTTCCTCGCCCCACAAATGATTTCTATAATGGGATAGACTTGCACAGAACTGCACACTTCAACAGACTAATTCAAGTGCCTTAATATTTTGTTCACTGGAAATTTCGAAACAATGAATCTCAAAGCCACAGTGCTCTATATTTTATTTGTTTATACTAGTACATGGCCTTGAGAGGAAGTCTCTCTTATAACGTAGTTTATTTTTCAGAACTTTAAGGTTTTACTAAATACATATGAAATTTCTTATGTGTACGACGGTGTCTTATCATTTTGTCCACCAGTGTACGTCAACAAATGCGTCCCATCAAGTATGTACACTCATACACGAAAGTATTCGAACGCTTACGTTTCTAACATTCAATTAATAAAATATATGTGTTAAACTGAAGCATTTGATATAATATGACACATATAACAAGGGATGGGTCTTAAGACTGCGTATGCAAAATTAGAAAATAATTCAACAATATATAGCGTTTTTACAGTACATTGGAGGAAAAAGGACACAGAATTAGAACCGCGAAATCTACGACCGACTATAAAGCATAATGATGGATCTGTATTAGTTTGGGGCTGCATGGCATCTAATGGAGTGGGAAACCTTGTGTTCATTGATGAGATAATGGACATTCGACATACTTAAAAATTTTGCAGGAATATTTAAAAAGCAGTGTATCAAAATTGAATTTACCTAGCGATTATTGGTCTCAGTCTGACAATCATCCGAAGCATACCGCTAAAATAGTCAAAGAATGGGTATTGCAAAATGTTCCACACGTGGTGCCACATCCACTGCAAAGTCCTGATTTAAACCCCATTGAACATTTATGAGATGAAGTAGAAAGATGATTAAGAAATACGGTTACTACTTCGAAAGAAGTGTTAAAACGAAATATTATTGAAATATGGCAATCAATAGATGCAAATGTTACTTCTAAGTTGGTCCACTCAATGGAAAATAGACTTAGGGCTGTTATAAAAGCAAAAGGTAGATCAACTTCCTATTAAAACCTTTAATCGTTCAAGTTATTTAAATTTAACTGTTAATTTAACAGTTATTTAACTGTTAATTGTTTCGTTCGAATACTTTTATGAGCCATTTCTGGTGCGTGTTTACAATAAATTTACTGTAGAAACGCTATATATTGTTGAATTATTTTCTAATTTTGCATACGCAGTCTTAAGACCCATCCCTTGTTATATGTGTCATATTATATCAAATGCTTCAGTTTAACACATATATTTTATTAATTGAATGTTAGAAACGTAAGCGTTCGAATACTTTCGTGTATGAGTGTATGTACCTCCACAACTTCAAGTTGTCAGACATCATCTGGGGTCGACAGGAATTACAGCCTTGAGAGGCGAACCCCCGATCCTACCATAAATTAACGAAAAGCGAGAACATAGATTTGTAATATTTAAAAGAAATGCAACATATTTAGGTAAATAGGACTATTACCGAAACCAAGAATCAAAAAATGACAGTTACAGGACCGATACAATATCAGTTCTAAATAACTGAAACCGATGTGCTTTATAACGTGTACGAGATCTTTTTTATTCTCCATAACTGTTTCACTCAGAACCGATATGTATAACAGTTTAAAGCAGTTATTTTCGGAATCTTTTTGATTCCTGACAAAAATACCGTCTTGCCCAATTCTTGTCCTTGCGCCTTACAAATACAATGTTAAACCTTGAATTTGCATTACAATCCCTAGTCTAAATTGCGAGTGGCTAGAACACCACACCTTGTAGCGAAACAGTTAATAGATTCAAGATGTGCGTACCTAATGCGAAAAAGAGGTAGAAATTCCATTATGTTGTTTTACCTGTTTGTTTAGACGAAGTGGTGGCACTCCATGCCTCGAGCGGAAGTAATTGTGCGTCTCGAGACAGACGTTGATGAATTCTTTAGGAGGCCCCGATCTGCGCACAGACGGTTTACGTGTGTCAGTCTTTGTTATCTATAACACACAGAGAGTGTCGCATAATAGATAAAAACTTTGTTAACAGTAGTCTAACAAGGATGAAACGTATTCGCGCCGTTGGCGATATTAGTAATTATATGTATACAAACTTTCTATCAAACTTTTCATTTCGGGACATTTTTGTCCTTGTCACAGATTTATTTAAATATAAATTTTTTCCATTTTTCAAACGTATACAGAGTGAGACATTTATCTCTTTTATTTTAATTTTCTTTGTAAAGTACAAGTTGTATAAAAAATGTTTCGAATAAAACTTGTATATAACTAATTATATAACTAAACTTGTAAATAATAGATGTCAGCAATTAATTTTTTGTTATTTTTATCAAAATGTAAAGGTCAGTTGGTAAAATATGAAACAATTACACATGTATCACTCGCGTTGCTTAATCGCCAACATTGATTGTAATGGACAAAATTTAGAACATTTCTTGCATTAGAGATCAACTAAAGAATATCTTGATAAACATTAACTTCTGAACATTTTAATTTTTTATACACATTATAGTTAAAAAACTCAAGGTAACCCTAATATTTTGATAAAGAAGGAAAGTAGCAAGAAATAGTCGTTGCCGTGTGTGCCCCTCTTTATACCAAACAACTTTCGTTCGAAACATTTTTTTTTGCACGACATATAGTTTAAAAGAAAAATTAAGGTGAAAGAGTTCGGGTCGAAACACACTTACAGGCTTAACTTAGTTTTCGAGAAAATTGTGTTTCAAAATTCGCTTTGTACATACGCACTTACAGTTAAGATACGGTTCGTCGATCCGAACTAAAAAGTTTACCCGTTATGTATACTCCTTGCTGGTGCATCATCGTGTTTGGAAGAAAACAGTGAATTAGCAACACGGTGGCTGCCGGCTTACGCACACTATGCCGTATTATGCACGTATAGACAAAATTCAATGCAGTAGTAGCAACAGTTTTTTGCAAATATCTCCGAAACTAGAGTCGATCGGCGTTAAATGTAGAAGGAAAAAGTTGTTTAAAATGTCGCCTTTTATAATATATTAATAGATCATTCAAATCGGTGGTTGTGTATGCTTTCAACACTCATCTGTTTTTTTTTGCGAGAAATCATCTGGTGCCCGATTGTACGCACCTTTTAGGGGCACCCTGTGTATTGTATATAAGGTATCGATCGATACTGAACCAGACCGATACCATATACACAAAATTGATCGTACACCTTATAAAACGCAATAACTTTTTTAAAACTGGACTAAATGACTTGAATTTTTTTAGATGATAGTAGGGCTAGTCTACTAGACGATGACTAAAATGCCTTTTTTAAATTTTGCTATTACTTGGAATGAAAAGAAAAAATTAAAAACTCTCGTTTTTTAACTTTTTTAACTGAACCTATAACGAAAATTTAAAAAATACCTTTTGTAGATCTCGGTAACTTAGGCACGTGCTGAAAATTTGATCGAAATCGGTTAACCCGGAGTCGAGCTACAGGCGTTGAAAGATTAAAAAAAAACTGCAGAATTCTTTCAGTTTTAGTCAAAATTGTGATAAAACTGTGATTTTTTTCCATCTTTAATTTGTTGTAATTCATAACAACGCCAAACGATTTCGATATAATTTTCAGCATGCAAATAAGTTACCGAGATCTGCGAGAGGCATTTTTAAAATTTCTGATTTATACTAGTCTCGCTATCATCTAAAAAATATTCAAGTAAGCTAGTCCAGTTTTAAAAAAGTTGTTGCGTTTTAAAAGATATACCTCTAAATGTCTCATCTCGTATATGAAATTTTGCGGACACACTTACTTTACAGTACACGATAAAAGTTCAATGTCCTCTGTAGAATGTTTCTTTATTAGAAGAAAGTGTTACGTAAAAGCTCTTACGACCATTTTTGTCCTAATACAAACGCAGCATCGGGTATACGAGGCACTTGCCTCAGGACCCGTGCTTATAGTTACTTCTATTTAATTACTTCTACATTTAATAAAAAAGAGACAAATGTAATTGTGATAGTTGTTTCTGTGGTAAATGTGAAAGAAAAGTACGCTTTAATAAATTTTAAAAAAGTCAGAGAAAAAGAAAACGAAAACGTTTTCATTCATACGGAGTAAGAGATATACGTTTCCATAATCTCGAAAATATTTTTTTCAGAGTTTACTTTTTAGCTATCGTTAACCGAAGAATAATATCGATCGAAGAAAGATTCAGATAAATTCAGCATTAGTCTGCAACATTCGGATTTTTATATAATGTAACAGTACTAAGAAAACATGAGAAGAAAAATTGATTAAATTTAGTTGAAATTGACGAAATTAATTTTCCTTCGTCGCTAGGATCTCAATGGGACCTGCAATAAATTTTTGTCACCATCTTTAGTTAGTAACGTGTCGTTACTGGTGGAGAAACCTATGGGGAGTTAAGTAGAAAAAGATGAAAGGACTAGAAGCGGGACCCATTCCTTTTCTCCTTTTTTTTGTGGTTAGAAAAGTGAAGGAAAGTTCTGAAAGTTCTTACGGCATGCGAGCCCTGCCCTCGAGGGTCTAGCAACAAAATCATTGCCCGTACAGACAGACTGTTGAATGTTCAAATATATTCATCTTCAATTTCAAAGTTTTAAAACTAATACTGATTATTTAAATAAAATCTTCTTACAAGAAATGACAATTTTTAAACAATCTCTATAGCCGGTTCCTAACAGTTTCTGAAATATTCGGCCAAAAAATGGTTTCCTTTTCAAACTTTGATCGCTACTTCATTCCATCATTGTAAACGATGATCCCTAAAAGTGTGTCTAATATTTTCCCAGCATCACGACCTTCTAAAGTTTCATTAATGGCGAAATTTCTGATTTCTTAAAAAAAAAAGAAAAAGAAAATGATTTCTGTAGAATCGTATAATTTAACTATTTCTAAATATTTTCATGAAATCGGAGATTATAGTTCATGACATTTTCGAAATCATTGACTACTGAAGTAGGTGTGATTTTGTATCTTACGTTGTAATTTTAAGCTTAAAAAACGTTTTGAATTAACTTCCGGAAGGTACTGTTGGCCGATGAAGATGAAATTTATGGAGAAGGAAGGGGATGAAATGAGGACGTGAAATAAAATATTTTTGCTTCGAAAGCTTATAAGAAGAGTGCAGAGCCTTGGGGGTTATATTATACATATACAGGGTGTCCCACAATTATTTTAACAGCCGAAAATGAGGGGTAGCTGAGGTCATTTGAAGTAACTTTTTCCTTTGCGAAAATGCAATCCGCGGCTTTGTTTACGAGTTATTAACGAAAAACACTGGCCAATGAGAGGTGACGGTGCGAGAGAGAGGGTCCGCGAGAGAGTCCGCAGCACGAGGCTTTGACAGAAGGTCGGAACGGACTCGAACCGAGTTTCGGACTCAAAATAATATGTAGTTTAACCGTGACAGCCGTTTCAATTTTCTGGTGTGCATGACACCTTGTGTGTAACATATGAAATTTTTAAGCAAGGTGTACAGTGAAGATTAACATAGTACGTAAATGATATTTTAATTTAAATAATTCTGTGTCCGAACACAGTTCAACGAATGATTCGCAAAGCTAATTTAATAAATAACAATCGTGTTAAAGGACGTAAGGGATATGTTTGTTAGAGAAATATGAAGAATATTATCAATAAGAAACTCACTCATTTAGTTGTAAATCCACTTCATGCGCGGAAATGTGTGCAGGATATTGCATTGACCTCGTACAATGTCAAGGTTATGTCAAGGTTATGTCAAGGTTATCTCAAAGTTTGAAGGGGCTGAAGGGCAACTTGGCTCGCGCCCTGAGGGTGGCTGCCTTAAACGGCAGGGTGGGGGTGTCGGAGCTGATAGTGAGGTCAGCTACCGACGCCACGCGTGTCCTGGAGGTCGAAAATGCCATCCTCAGGGGGCAAATGACGGAGCTGCGGGCGGAGGTGGCCCGACTCCGTCAGGTGGTGGAGGCGAGAACGGCTGCTGCCGCAATGCCTCCGCCGCCGCGCCCGGGAGAGGGCTCAGTATCGCCGCCGATCGTCGGCGCCCGGGATCGCCACCGCTCCGGGCGAGAAAAGTCCTCGCCCCCACCTGCGGCTGCGCCCGCAGATTTGCTGGCGCAAATAGGCGCCCTGATAGATGACAAATTGGCGTCATTCAGGAGGGAGCGCGTCCGGTCAAAAAAGTCGACCTTAGGGTGAGCGGCCTGGTCGATTCGACCACGCCAGCGGAGGTCGCTGCGGCTGTTGCCCGCGTGGGCGGGTGTAGCGAGGGGGACATTCATACCGGCGAAATCCGGTCTTCCCCCTCGGGATTGGGCACCCTCTGGGTCCGATGTCCTGCCGCGGCCGCTCGCAGGGTTGCGGTCGCGGGCCGGATAACTGTCGGCTGGACCCAGGCAGCCGTGGAGGCCCTGAGTGCCCGGCCTCTGCAGTGTTATCGCTGCCTTGGTGTTGGCCACACCAGGCAGCGGTGCACTGCTGCCGAGGATAGGTCCGACTGCTGTTATAGATGCGGCAGTCGGGACCATAAGGTGGCAGCCTGTACGGCCACGCCCAATTGTCCGCTTTGTGCGGGCGCGGGCAAGCCGTCTGGTCACCGCCTCGGCAGCCGGGCATGTCCTGCCAGTG